CCAACTAGGGATTTAGTAAAGAAAACTAACCATTTAGATAGTTTATAAGAGATTGACCCAACTGAGCTAATGATGGGTCTTGTTGGGTTATTATTGGGCTTGTTTTGATTACACCGTATATGTATGGCAGTGGAGGGACGTTAGTAAGATGTTTAATGAGGTAGCTTTGCCTCTCAATAGGGACTTCAGTTTTTGTTGAACTTGGGGTGTTGCAGTGTTGAGAGGATTATTTATAAGTTTAGAATATGTTGTGGTATCACATAAGAGGTCATTCATTTTAGAGATAGTCATCTTTGTAGGGTCATTACTAATACCTGACCATTGTGGACCTGGTCTCACCCTCCTCTGTATATATACACCTTGATTTGTATTATCTAGTCTGTACTCACCCCTGAAGATGTGAATTACACTAAAGCGCTAGGACCTTCTTGTTTTCTTTCTTCCTTTGTTAACATATATATATATATATATATATATAAAATATATATATATATATATATATATATATATATATATATATATATATATATATATATATATATATATATATATATATATATATATATATTTATATATATATATATATATATATATATATATATATATATATATATATATATATATATATATATATATATATATATATATATATATATATATATATATATATATATACTGTATATATATATATATTAAATTTGTTTTAATATTTTGTAAAATTCCTGATATTAGACATTTTTGAAAATATATGAAGCATACATCGCCATGGGATGCGACCGCCCGCCTCAGTGTAAGCATGTACTTGTACTACTCTACTCGCATATGTGTCTCACTTGGTCACGACAGTCTACCGCTCAAGCTTTTTCCCACTTGCTTTCCCATCATTACCCAGTTTTGAGCCATTATGTCTGATAACCCTGGAGCAAGCACCTAAATCTGATATTGTACCTAGAAACATTTATATTTTGATTGGGGCAGATTACGGCAAAGGTATCGGTTCTCCTCCTTTGGGGGGGGGGGGGCATACTGTAGAACTGTTATTTGACCAATATTACTTGCCAAAGCTATGCAAAAATAATAATAATATTTTATTTTCATAAATAAAAATATAAATACTTTACAGAAAATGAAGGTATTAAGGTATTCATTCAATTAGATAATAATATGTATGAACTCTGCTTCTGACAAATGTTGTGACTTACTACAAGCTTCTGGAACACAACAGACATTTAACTCACTTTTAAGTAATTCTTAACTTGTGAATAGACTGTACAGTATTTAATGTTGTTTTTATTAAATTGATAGCTAGTTGTACAGTTTTCTTTTAGGCCTATTACTTCATTACCAGGTGTACCTAGTTAGTTGTACAGTTTTCTTATAGGCCTATTACTTCATTACCAGGTGTAGCTAGCTAGTTGTACAGTTTTCTTATAGGCCTATTACTTCATTACCAGGTGTAGCTAGTTAGTTGTACAGTTTTCTTATAGGCCTATTACTTCATTACCAGGTGTAGCTAGTTAGTTGTACACTGTTGTAGGCCTATTACTTCATTACCAGGTGTAGCTAGTTAGTTGTACAGCGTTGTAGGCCTATTACTTCATTACCAGGTGTAGCTAGTTAGTTGTACAGTGTTGTAGGCCTATTACTTCATTACCAGGTGTAGCTAGTTAGTTGTACAGTGTTGTAGGCCTATTTATTCATTACCAGGTGTAGCTAGGTAGTTGTACAGTGTTGTTGTAGGCCTATTTCTTCATTACTAGGTGTAGCTAGTTAGTTGTACTGTGTTGTAGGCCTATTACTTCATTAGCAGGTGTAGCTAGTTAGTTGTAGGCCTATTACTTCATTAGCAGGTGTAGCTAGTTAGTTGTACTGTGTTGTTGTAGGCCTATTTCTTCATTACCAGGTGTAGCGAGTCCTGAGGCTCCTCAACTCGTTCTCTACCAGTTTGTGTACAATAACAACAGCAGACAACAGACAGAAGCAAGAAGGGACTTTCACTGTCCGTGGTGCTCTCTCAACTGTATGGCCCTCTACTCTCTTCTCAAGCACCTCAAGCTATGTCATGCGCGCTTCACCTTCACATATGTCGTAAGTAATGCCACGCTCCCTTCACCCACCTCGCTACGAAATGAGATCCTGTATTGTTGAAAGTCTCGTGTTAGTTACCTACACTAGTATAAAGCTCACCGAGAATACCCTTTCATTGTCGGGTGTGTGAAGAGGGGAAAAACGGGTGTGTCTTTGTCTTTGTCATCAGTGTAATTATTAAGAAGAAATATCAGGCACAGGAAGGTATTGGACAGATGCTAAAGTCAAATCTATTCACCGGGTCATTCCCTGCCAAGTATTGATGATGTTTGAACTGATTGAGGTTGTGTGACTCAGGATCGATCAACTCGCCTATACTTACTGTACTGTGCCAAGACCCCAAATTTTCCAACTACAAATAGTTATAACTTTATAAGAAATTATTTGAATTTGGTGGATTTTTTTTTTAATTTGGAGTAGATTATTGGAATGATAGGAAAAAAAGCTTACTGTATGAATAATTGCCAGAAAAATTACTAAAATAGCCACTAATAGTACTGTAGTACAGGTCAAGCATCTTTAATCCAAAACATGAGCTGACATCTACTGCTAAGTTTGTCATTATCAACTGTTTGTTTTATTTTACCAATGAAAATTTTATGTAGCTGTAGTGTACAACAAGAATAAAACTGTCATTATCAGCTCTTCCTCAACACTTTTTATGGTAAAATGAAAGATTCCCGAGTAAGTGTTATAAGGCGGGAACAGCTTGTCCACAGTCCAGTATAAACAAAGGTGGTACTGTTAGTTTGTTTTGTCTATCACTTCAGGACATCTCAGACGCCGAATGTCAACAAAGGGAGTGTGTCATCTTCTGACCATTAAATAAATTTTGATTTTAATTTGTATTATGAAAACTTCTTGAAATTAATTGTATATACGTCGGGGTTAAGGACCAAAGTCGCTCGACTTTAAAGCGAAGCGACTTTAAAAGGTGATTTTCCACCACAATGATACATGTTAATACAGTACAGGGGGTAGGGACAACAAGAGCGTTTACATCGTAGATGATGCGCAAAATGGGACAATTTCTCCCATAAAAAATAATGTAATAAGGTATGAATAGGATTGGATTTTGAAGTCATTTATACTTAAAATGTAGAATAAAAGAAGTATTTGTGATATTATTAAGCAATGACTCAAATAGAAAAGAATTTATTTGGGTAAATACAAATATTTTGGTGTAAAAAAGGCACATAATTTTAAAGATTTAACCTTAACCCATAACCTAACCTGTAATGTTTTTATATCTTACCTTGAGGAGTGGATGAGTTCTCCTTGTTTAATATGCTTTATATTATCACCCTTCTTAATATCCAGTGTAATGCTCATACAATTTTCTTCCCCTCACCACCTGCACTATGCTTGTCACTCATAATTGAAGGATTGTAAAGTTAAGTCCACATATACAGTATAGGGGGGCCCCAAATTCACGGGGGTTAGGTTCTCAAAATGGCCGCAAATCGCCAAATCCACGAATAACATTTGCTGACCAGGGGGGTTTACATTTTTACTTGTGTACAAAGAAATGTATATTCCCTTTATGTGTTTGCCCTTAGGACAATTATTTCTTTTACCTGTATTGTATATATGTTTGCGTGTAGACACACACATACAACTAAATAATAATGGAAAATACTCTCACAAATAATCAGAAACAAATTTATTAAAGATGTTAGTCTCCCCTCAAGTCCGTGTTCTATTACTTTATTAATAGAGCACGGACTTGAGGGGAGACTGTCACATTTTTAATAAATATGTTTCTGATTATTTGTGAGAGTATTTTCCATTATTATTTATTTGTTTGTGTTTTGTGTGTGTCTACACACACAAAACACATATATTTATAATACAGATAAAGGAAATTAGAGTCTCTAGAACGAATGGCTCCCCGTCCCAGCTGCAAAAATGGCAGCAACTTTAAAACTACCCACAGACATTCTTGGGTACATCCAGGGTGTCATCTGTGTATAATAGAGGACCGCTAAATAAAAATCCGCGAATATGGGGCCCCTGTACAGTACTTGTATGCGATGCTGAATGTGAAGCTCAGCTGCTACTCAGTGTGAGAGAACACATTGGGACCGAGAAGTGTCGAAAAGGATGCTGGTACTGTACATAATGCAAGATGGCTGAGCAGTGCTGAAATTCAAGTTCTGACATTGTTAATGCCAAGTAGATGATAGTGCGGGGAATTTTTGTCGCATTCTTCAATTAGTCAACGACTTCGGTGCAAAACAATGCAAAGCAAGAATCTCCTGTATTTAAGTCTTGCATAACATTAATTGTGAACCTCAAGATGGATGGTGTCAACATTCAACTCTTTACTTTTGACTCTGTGGATTTTTATAATTTTGTTTTGTTTAAATGGGTAAAAAAAAACCACCTAGGATCAAGAGCACTATAACACTGCAGAACAAAATGGGACTGCTCTAAACTTAGTATTACTGTACCTGTATACAGTATAGTGGATTGTAATGATTCAAGTAAAAATAAAACCCCTTGATAAATGATGAAAATATGAACTGTATAAGTTAACTCCATGTGCTTCCCAAAAAATAAGTGACACACACACACACACACACACACACACACACACACACACACACACACACACACACACACACACACACACACACTCACACTCCCCACACTCTCTCTCTCTCTCTCTCTCTCTCTCTCTCTCTCTCTCTCTCTCTCCTCTCTCTCTCTCTCTCCTCTCTCTCTCTCTCTCTCTCTCTCTCTCTCTCTCTCTCTCTCTCTCTCTCTCTCACACACTCTCTATCTCTCTGTTCCATGCTGGGGTCTTAGTAAAAAGAGAAAAGAAATAAATTTTGTTAAATAACATTAAGATCAGACTAAAAAGTGGGCGTGTTTCATTTGTTTTATTTAGTTGATAATTTACATATTGTAGGCATGCAGAAGCAGTGTTTGGGAGTACTGTACTGAGGTCTAGTGTATGTGTCCTCCACCCCTTCTGTCTCCACCCCACCCCCCAGTCTCCCTCCACCCCCTCCTGTCTTCTCCACCCATCCCCCATCCCTCCACCCACCCCCATCTCCTCCACCCCACCCCCATCTCCCTCCACCCCACACCCCCATCTCCCTCCACCCACCCCCCTCATCTCCCTCCACCCCATCCCATCTCCCTCCACCACCCTCCCTCCCACCCTCCCCATCTCCTCCACCCACCCCCATCTCCCTCCCACCCCGCCATCTCCTCCACCCCATCTCCTCCCACCCACCCCCCATCTCCTCCACCCCATCTCCTCCACCACCCCCCATCTCCTCCCACACCCCATCTCCCTCCACCCACCCCATCTCCCTCCCCCACCCCATCTCCCACCCCCCATCTCCCACCCACCCCCCCCATCTCCCTCCCCCATCCCCCATCTCCTCCACCCATCCCCCATCTCCCTCCACCCATCCCATCTCCTCCCACCCACCCCATCTCCCCTCCACCCCACCCCTCTCCCTCCCCACCCCACCATCTCTCCCCACCCATCCCCCCGTCTCCCTCCACATCCCCCCACTCTCCTCCACCATCCCCCCGTCTCCCTCCCACCCATCCTCCTATCTCCTCCACCCACCATCTCCCTCCACCCATCCCCCCGTCCTCCACCCATCCCTCGTCTCCTCACCCACCGCCATCTCCTCCACACCCCCATCTCTCCACCCACCGCCATCTCCTCCACCCCATCTCCCTCCACCCATCCCTCCACCCACCCCATCTCCTCCCACCCACCGCCATCTCCCTCCACACCCCATCTCCTCCACCCATCCTCGTCTCCCTCCCACCCCATCTCCCCTCCACCCACCCCATCTCCCTCCCACCCACCGCCATCTCCCCACCCCCCATCTCCCTCCCCCATCCCCATCTCCCTCCCCATCCCCCGTCTCCCTCCCACCCATCCCCCGTCTCCTCACCCATCCTCCTATCTCCTCCCCATCTCCCTCCACCCATCCCCCCTCCACCCACCGCCATCTCCCTCCACCCCCATCTCCCTCCACCCACCGCCATCTCCCCTCCCACCCCCATCCCCATCCCTCCCCTACCCACCCATCTCCCTCCACCCACCAGCATCTCCTCCACCCCCATCCTCCTCCACCCATCCCCTCTCTCCTCCACCCCCCATCTCCTCCACCCACCCCCATCTCCCTCCACCCACCCGCCATCTCCTCCCACCCCATCTCCCTCCACCCATCCCCTCGTCTCCCTCCACCCACCCATCCCTCCACCCATCCCCATCTCCTCCACCCATCTATCTCCTCCACCCATCCATCCCCTCCCACCCATCTCCCCTCCCACCCCTTCTCCCTCCCATCCTCCTGTCTCCCCCCTCCCACCCATCCCCCGTCTCCCTCCCACCCATCCCCTATCTCCCCCACCCCACCCCCTCCCCTCCACCCCATCTCCCCACCCATCCCCCCTCTCCCTCCCCCATCCCCATCTCCCTCCCACCCACCGCCATCTCCCTCCACACCCCAATCTCCCCTCACCCATCCCCCGTCTCCCTCCCACCCATCCCCCTATCTCCCTCCACCATCATCTCCTCCCACACCCAATCTCCTCCACCCTCCCCCGTCTCCCTCCACCTCCATCTCCCTCCCAATCTCCTCCACCCTCCCCCGTCCTCCACCCATCCCTATCTCCCTCCACCCACCCATCTCCCTCCCCCATCTCCCCTCCACCCATCCCCCATCTCCCTCCACCCATCCCCCTCTCCCCTCCCACCCACCATCTCTCCCTCCCACATCTCCCTCCCACCCATCCCCTATCTCCCTCCCACCCCATCTCCCTCCCCACCCCCATCTCCCCCTCCCCCCCATCTCCCCACCCCCTCGTCTCCCTCCACCCACCCCCCCATCTCCCTCCACCCACCGCCATCTCCCTCCCACACCCCATCTCCCTCCCCCATCCCCCATCTCCCTCCACCCATCCCCCATCTCCCTCCACCCATCCCCTCCCCTCCACCCCACCCCATCTCCCTCCACACCCCCATCTCCCTCCACCCATCCCTCGCCTCCACCCACCCCCATCTCCCTCCACCCACCCCATCTCCTCCACCCACCCCCCCCATCTCCCTCCACACCCCCATCTCCTCCACCCATCCCCCGTCTCCTCCACCCATCCCTATCTCCCTCCACCCACCCGCCATCTCTCCACACCCCAATCTCCTCCACCCATCCCCGCCTCCCTCCACCCATCCCCCTATTCCCTCCACCCACCCCCCATCTCCCTCCACACCCCAATCTCCCTCCACCCATCCCCCCCCCGTCTCCTCCACCCATCCCCTATCTCCCTCCACCCACCCCGCCCATCTCCCTCCACACCCCCAATCTCCCCTCCACCCATCCCCCGTCTCCACCCATCCCCCTATCTCCCTCCACCCACCCGCCATCTCCTCCACACCCCAATCTCTCCACCCATCCCCCCTGTCCTCCACCCATCCCCTATCTCCCTCCCACCCGCCATCTCCCTCCACACCCCCAATCTCCTCCACCCATCCCCTGCCTCCCTCCACCCATCCCCCCTCCACCCATCCCCCATCTCCACCCACCGCCATCTCCCTCCACCCACCTCCTGTCTCCACCCACCCCCATCTCCCACCCATCTCCTCCACCCCCCCATTAGGTGTGACCGTTCTCCAAAAAAATGGTCCTACAATGCTGTTCAAAGTTTTAGTGTTGTGTATTTATCTCTGAACACTTTCGTAAATTTTCTTGGAGGTCGGTGCATGTTTGAGCTAGCACCGTCGGCTCTACAAAATAACAAGGAATATTATCTAATGAACAAATTTAGTGGAATTTCTTTTATTAGACTTATAAGACAAACTAACACCAAGCAAATGATTGATCATATCAATCTTAATACCCTAAAACAAAATATTATAGATTAGTACGAAATACAATAATTGCATTTCTAGGTTCAAGACCCATATCTCAACTGGCGACAATGAAAAAAGAAACACTACTACCCCTCGCAATGCCTGAGTGTTTGAGGAGCGCCAGCAGGAGATGGCTGACTTCTTCCGTGAATCTCTAGCCCGACCATTTACACGTGGCGACTACAAGGAGCTGGTAGAGCTTTGTCTGCTGCTTGTAACTAAAGGATCCGAACCAGTGAATTTCACGATGGTCTACCCCGGCGCACTTCTCAAAGCAAGGTGGATGGCTAAACTGCTCTATACCCTCAAGATTGTTCTTTTGTCAGGCCAGATCAAAGAGCAGTTTCCCAAAGCCGAGGTTGTGACTAAAAGTCAAATCAGCAAGTTAGAAATGTTTGCTGTGTTCACAGTCGCTGTTTATGTCCCATGGTGGATTGTTTGCCCCGTTCCAGCAAGTGCGCCACTGAATGACTTGAATTTGGTCAAAACCTTGGCTGAATTTGCCCCATATGATGCCACAATAGTTGACAAAGCACGTGTGACACTCGGTAGACACACTTGGTACCTAACTGAGGAGTTGGCCCCACTGGCTTTGTTCTCGTCCCAAGTACAAGAAAGGACAAAAGAGGAGATGAGGAAGGTCCTTCTTTGCCATGAAGGCACTGAAGTTACTAAGAGAGTGGGGCTCAATCATGGGGGCTATGGAAAGCCATATCTTCCCCCTGTCCCAGAAAGTGGCACTGCCCTGGTGGACCTAATTGGGCCTGACTCAAGCCGGTTCTTCACCATTTTAGGCATGCCCTATCAGTTTCTCCACAGTCCAGCCAGTGAATGGGCGGATCATGACGACTACCTGAACATGAAACGGGTTGTGGACAAGCTTCAGGTCGTCAATGAGGCTGCAGAGCGTTGTGTAAAACTTTGCCATGACTTTCTTAATGTTGCCAGGGATGAGGAGCGCTTTCAAGAAGTCCTTCAAGTAGTTGAAAATGACAGACTCCACGTTCCTAATCAGCGCAAACGATCATCTGTTTCCGAACAGAAATCATGGTTTCTTGCTCTAAAGAAATAATACCTTGTGAATATATGATAAAACCTCTTAATGTACCATGAGAGAATAAGAATGATTAACTTTTTTTGTGTTAGTGATAACAGCTTTTAATTAAGACAGGCAAATGATTTGTGTTAATATCCCTTATGATGGTTATGTAATCTCATATATAGGCGCATATGCCATATAAGCAAAATCTCTATTTTTCAAATTGCTGGTGCTCACTCAGATATGTATGAATCTTCAAAAAATTGCACGTGGGTATTTTTTATGTCAATATGCAACACCAAAATTTTGAAGAGCATTGTAGGACAAAGTTGGGGCAACTGTCACACCCTACCCCCCATCTCCCGCCACCCACCCCCCATCTCCCGCCACCCACCCCCATCTCCCGCCACCCACCCCCTCTCCCTCCACCCTTTCCTACAGTAAGACTTGATAAGGTAAGAATTTGTCATAAGACTTGTCATGGTAAGACTTGACATAAGACTTGTCATGGTAAGACTTGACATAAGACTTGTCATGGTAAGACTTGACATGGTAAGATTTGACATGGTAAGACTTGTCATGGTAAGACTTGACATAAGACTTGTCATGGTAAGACTTGACATGGTAAGACTTGACATAAGACTTGTCATGGTAAGACTTGTCATGGTAAGATTTGACATGGTAAGACCTGTCATAAGACTTAACATAAGACTTGTCATGGTAAGACTTGACATGGTAAGACTTGACATAAGACTTGTCATGGTAAGACTTGACAGACTTGTCATGGTAAGACTTGACATAAGACATGGTAAGACTTGTCATGGTAAGACTTGTCATGGTAAGACTTGACATGGTAAGACTTGTCATAAGACTTGTCATGGTAAGACTTGACATAATAAGACTTGTCATGGTAAGACTTGTCATGGTAAGACTTGACATGGTAAGACTTGTCATAAGACTTAACATAAGACTTGTCATGGTAAGACTTGACATGGTAAGACTTGTCATGGTAAGACTTGACATGGTAAGACTTGACATGGTAAGACTTGTCATAAGACTTGTCATGGTAAGACTTGACATAAGACTTGTCATAAGACTTGACATAATAAGACTTGTCATGTTAAGACTTGACATGGTAAGACTTGTCATAAGACTTCTCATGGTAAGACTTGTCATAAGACTTGACATAATAAGACTTGTCATGTTAAGACTTGACATGGTAAGACTTGTCATAAGACTTCTCATGGTAAGACTTGACATAAGACTTGTTATGGTAATACTTGACAAGACTTGTCATTAGACTTGACATATTAAGACTTGACATGGTAAGACTTGTCATAAGACTTCTCATGGTAAGACTTGACATAATAAGACTTGTCATGGTAAGACTTGTCATGGTAATACTTGACATGTTAAGACTTGACATGGTAAGACTTGACATGTTAAGACTTGTCATAAGACTTGTAATGGTAAGACTTGACAAGACTTGTCATTAGACTTGACATAATAAGATTTTGTCATGGTAAGACTTAAAGTAAATTAAGGTGCCTTAAGGACTTATTTCAATTGTAAATGATTGGTAGAAAAGTTAGTTAGTGGTGTAAACAAGATGGCTTATCCTTGTTCATTCTTTTACAGCCACACCCCAAAGGAGCTCGAATTGATGTTGCTCTCAACGAGTGTTACGACGGCTCTTATGCTGGAAATCCACAGGACTTGGTGGCCATGCCAGCCGGGTTTGCTTTTTCTCGCAGCGGTCCGACGCGGAGAACACCAACCACTTCAGTATTAGTCTGCAGACCCAAACGACCAAAACCATCATTATCAGAATTCTTAGAACAGGATGATGATTTTGATTTACCACGCTCATATATATTAGGTCACAATAGGTGAGTGCCTCACAATGTAACATATTTAATTTTTTAAAAGTCTTATTCCACTTTAAGCTGGCTGTCTGGACACACACACACACACACACACACACACACACACACACACACACACATGCAGCATACGCATGCAACACACACACAACACACACACACACACACATGCAGCATATGCACACACACACACACACACACACACACACACACACACACACACACATGCACACACACACACACACACACACACACACACACACACACACACACACACACACACACACACACACACACACACACACACACACACACACACACACACACACACACACACACACACACACACACACACACACACACACACACCACACACACATGCACACATACACACACACCACACACACACACACACACACACACACACACACACACACCACATACACACACCACACACACACACACATACACCACACACACACACACACACACACACAACACACACACACACACATACCACACACACACACACACACACACACACACACACACACATGCACACACACACACACACACACACACACACACACCACACACACACACACACACACACCACACACACACACACACACACACACACACATACACACACACACACACACACACACACACACACACACACACACACACACACACACACACACACACACACACACACACATGCACACACACACACACACACACACACACACACACACACACACACACACACACACACACACACACACACACACACACACACACACACATGCACCACACACCACACACACACACCACACACACACCACACACACACACACACACACACACACACACACACACACACACACACACACACACACACACACACACACACACACACATGCACCACACACACACACACACACACACACACACACACACACACACACACACACACACACACACACACACACACACACACACACACACACACACACACACACACACACACACACACACACACACACACACACACACACACACACACACACACACACACACACACACACACACACACACACACATGCACACACACACACACACACACACACACACACACACACACACACACACACACACACACACACACACACACACACACACACACACACACACACACACACACACACACACACACACACACACACACACACACACACACACACACACACACACACACATACACACACACACACACACACACACACACACACACACACACACACACACACACACACACACACACACACACACACACACACACACACACACACACACACACACACACACACACACACACACACACACACACACACACACACACACACACACACACACACACACACACACACACACACACACATGTACCACACACACACACACACATGCACACACACACACACACACATGCACCACACACACACACACACACACACACACACACACACACACACACACACACACACACACACACACACCACACACACACACACACACACACACACACACACATGCACCATACACACACACATGCACCATACACAGACACACATGCACTATACACACATGCACCACACACACATGCACCACACACACACATGCATCACACACACACATGCACACATGAGAGAGAGAGAGAGAGATAAGAGAGGGAGAGAGGAGACATAAGGGGGAGAGAGAGAGGAGAGAGATATTAGAGAGAGAGAGAGAGTTATATTAGGAGAGAGGAGAGAGAGGAGAGAGAGAGGAGTTATATTAGGGGAGAGAGAGAGAGAGAGAGTTAGTTAGGGAGGAGAGAGAGAGAGAGAGAGTTGTATTAGGAGAGAGAGAGAGTTATATTAGAGAGAGAGAGAGAGAGAGAGAGAGAGAGAGAGAGAGTTATATTAGGGAGAGAAAAGAGAGAGTTATATTAGAGAGAGAGAGAGAGAGAGAGAGAGAGAGAGAGAGAGAGAGAGAGTTATATTAGGGAGAGAGAGAGAGAGATTTTAGAGAGAGAGAGAGAGAGAGAGAGATATTACGGAGAGAGAGGAGAGTTTTGGAGAGAGAGAGAGAGAGAGTTAAATTGGGAGAGAGAGAGAGAGAGAGTTATATTAGCAGAGAGAGATATTGAGAGAGAGAGAGAGTTATATTAGGGAGAGAGAGAGAGAGTTATTAGGAGAGAGAGAGTTATATTAGGGAGAGAGAGAGAGAGAGGGTTATATTAGAGAGAGAGAGATATTAGAGAGAGAGAGTTATATTAGGGAGATAGAGATATTAGGGAGAGAGAGGATATGAGAGAGAGAGAGCTACATTAGGGAGAGAGAGTTATATTAGAGAGAGAGAGAGAGAGTTATATTAGGGGAGAGAGAGAGAGAGAGAGAGAGCTATATATAGAGAGAGAGAGAGAGAGAGAGAGAGTTATATTAGGAGAGAGAGAGAGATATTAGGGAGAGAGAGAGAGAGAGAGAGAGTTATATTAGGAGAGAGAGAGAGATATTAGGGGGAGAGAGAGAGAGAGTCATTAGGGATAGAGCGAGAGAGTCTAAGACATTTCAAATTTAACACAATACTAATTACAGTTCCAGCAGGTAGCTCCAGGTAGTGTTAAGCAGTTAAAGTTAAGGGGGGCTGTATTAGGGGGGGGGCAATCTTTAGGTGACTTCTGAGGGCCATTGTCACCTGAAAATTTGCCCCCCCAGGTAGCACCACATATGGTACTCCTGAATGGATCTACAGTATTGTCAACACAAGTACCAAACCACCAATTGACTACATGGAAATAGAGCAGGCAATAGATGCTGCCTCTCCTCTCATTATACAAGTGGTGCTTCAGCCGGGATCCATCATTCACAGTGATGAGTGGAGGTAACCATACTATTATAATAACCTCATTGTCCATTCCTGGGTTTATGGGTGGTTAAACTTCAAGCTGGAGGGGGGGTAGTCTTCAACTGAGTACAGGTCGACCACCGATTTTCCGCCGGGTCGATGCCGGACCGCCGATTTTGCCAAACCACGGGTGGCGACGGCCTCGGGGGAGCTACCATTCCTGTAACTTGCGACCTGGTAGTTAAATACCTCACGTTAACTCTGAAGCATTCTGAACTGCGAGGAAATCAACATTAAAAGAAGATTAAATGAATAACAGTTATAGGGATATATGGAGGTTTATTGTTTACTTACACAAACTGATGCATTACTTCCGCTCCCAAACAAGAGAGTGGTGATGTAGAGGTGATTAGTTATATTTCTCCCGGTGGGGGACTGTCTGGAGTATCTTCTTCAACTTGGGCCATCACTTTACTCGTTAACTCAACAAAATAAGAGGCCCTGTTTCACTCGAATTACACAAAAATCCGAATTAAGCAAGTTCGGATTATTTTAACGTTCGCTGAATTTTTGTGTTCAATTATTTGTTCGTTTTCTGTTCAATTTTTTCACCTTGCCTTGGCTGCAACATAAAATCATCTATTTATAATTACCGTGCAAATATTTTTTTTTCTAAATGTACATAGAGTAATAACAAAGTGAATAATACAGTACAGTATGTCCTCGCTTAATGTCGGGGTTACGTTCCTAAAACGCGACGTTATACGAAACAGCGTTAAGGGGATCAATTTTCCCCGTAAGAAATAGATAGAATACGGGAGTTACGTTCCCCAGCCTCCTTTTGCCCCATGAAATACATTACATATTCAGAAAATCATTGCCATTTCTCTAGAAAATAATGTATACACATACAACTACTAAGTTTGTATTGGTACTCACCGATGGGTGGAGGTAGTAGAGCGAGTGTGTGGTGGGTAGTGAAGCAGAGGAGGTGGATGGCGGGAGCGGAGAAGGAGGGCGGGAGGGTGGCGAGTCACTGAGACTGCTGCAAGCCGAGAGAGCATAGTACGGCCAGACGAGAGAGGGCGATGCACAGTAAAATGTAGTCTGTGACGACTCAAAATGGCGTAGTATCGGATCACTGGGATGTTAAACAAATTTTTGGTCTCTAAAGTTTAGCGACGTAGTACCGAAACAAAGTTAAGTGGGACGACGTTAAGTGAGGACTTACTGTAATAAATAAATATAACTGCGAGGCGAGTTGACGAAACGAGGGGTGAGGTGGCGAGGCCAGAGGCGAGGTGACACGACGAGGCACTTACACAGCACACACATTAACAGCACTACTAAACCATTGTCTTATAACATTTAATTTATAATTTCTATTTTAAAATTAATTGATACAGTACATGATGGCTCGATTTAGCTACTTTTGCACTTACACAACTGATCAGTGAGTAAACCAGGCCATATGGAGACACATTACACACTACAATAATATTTATTAAGTTCTGATAAATATGTTACATTATTATTTACTAAGTGCTCAAGACAGAACTTGTGGTAAGCACCAACCCTCATGAGCAGTGACAACAATAGTGCTTGAGAGATGATAAGTGCTGGCAACATTATTAGTGAAAATGGATCAGCAGGACTGATCAGCTGTTGCTGCTCTGTAAACAAGAGACTGAGAATATACTACGGCACAATAGTTCATCTGGGATTGAGTGTGGGTTTTTTGGGGGGACCCTAATTATTTTTTAATTATATTTTATTAACCCAGCACCAATTGAACCTAAATAATATGAGAATTTGGTGAATTGCATACTGTTGTTATAAAAGGATTGTGAGCTGATGAGCACGGGGAGGGGAGTTGTCTTCTCCTCTGCCTCCCTCCTTCTCTGCCACCCGCCAAGCTCCTCTCCCGGGCTACACACCGAAGCATAGTTATATATTATTTTCCTATAATTCATTCTTCCTAGTCTATAATTGATTCTTATAGTAATAATCGACTTTTCGGAACTGCTCGGTTTTTCGGATTCATTCCGTATTCAAATTGTTTAATTCCTTTAAAAAACAAAAACAAAATAAAAATCAATTAAACCAAAATCTGAATT